GAGCAGTCTCTTCCTGAAGGACCCTAACCCCATGGAGAGGCCATGCTGGAGCAGTTCTTGAGGAAGTGCAGCCCATAGGAAGGACCCAGCTTGGAGCAGCCCATGAAGGACTCCCCCACAGAGAGGGACCCCACTGGGAAAAGTGTGAGGAGGAAGGAGCAGCAGAGCAGTGGTATGAACTGACTGCAACCCCCTATTCCCCCACTCGGGCTTGAGGGGAGCAGGTAGAAGATTTGTGAAAGAAAGAGTGAAGTTAAGCCTGGGAACAGGGCGGGTGGTGGAAGCTGGGTTTAGTTTTGTTTTTGTTTCTCACCATATTTTTAATTGGTAATAAATTAAATTAACTTTCCCCAGGTTGAGTCTGGTTTGTCCATGATGATAATTGTAAGTTATGTCCCTGCCTTTATCTCAACTCATGGTATTTTCCATCTTATTATTCCCCCCTTTCCTGTTGAGGAGGATGAGTGACAGAGTGGCTGGGTGGGGGTCTGGCAGCCAGTCAAGGTCAAACCCACCACAAAGACACTGGGCTTGATCCCGGTTCTGTTGGCAGAGGACTCACCTCAGCCCTGCAGACAGGGAGCCTTCCCTGGCCAGGCAGGCAGGACCATCTGCCTGGGGTGGGGTGACTGTAAGAGCAGGGAGGAAGGGGTGCAGGGGACAAGGCAGGCTGAGCCCTGCCCTGAGGCCAGTGTCCTCCTGCTACTGCTGCCTGATCTTAGGTGGGATCTTAAGTGTAGTCCCTGCAGGTGATGGTAGCGTGTTCCCCCCTACTCCAAGCCTTTGGGTTGTGTCTCCTGGGGCAAGGCCTGGGAACCTTCCATATGTGTTTTGTTGCCCTCTCCCAGTGCTCCATTTCCCTTTGGGCACTTGGAAAGCCGTTAGCCCCCACCTAGGAGCCCTCTGTGCAGCTTTGGGCACTTCCAAGAGCTTTCCAGGCTTCTTTTGGTGCCTCCATGAGCCCTCTGTGTGCATTTAGGTGCCTGGGGAACCCTTCTGTGTTTGTTTTGGAGCCTCCCTGACCTGTCACATGACCCTCTGTGCCTCCCAGAAACCTTTGGTTTGTCTTTGGTTGTGCCCCTGAGCCCTCCAAGTACCTCGGGGTGTGCCCAGCTGCTGGGACTTACAGAGCTGGAAACTGAGGTATCCTGGACCTTGTGCAGGAGCAGCTACAACAATAATTGGTTTCAAGGAGTGCATGGAAAGACTGGTGCCCCTTCGCCCCTCTACAGCCATGGCTTAGCCCCAGGCAGTACTGAGGCAGAGGTGGCCACTGGTCCACTGTGAAGCTACAGCCTCACACATGTCCGCCCCTGCCATTACCATGGCCTTCTCCCCAGAGCTGCACCCCCTCCCACAGCCCCATCAAGGATTGGCCCCACAGACAAGAAACCATCCCAAACACTGCCCCACTGTAGAGTGGCTTCCCGCCCCCTCCCAAATCTGCCCCACCACAGCCTACCCCACTGCAAAGCAGCTTCTACCTGAGCCCCCATCCCAGCCCCACCCCCCAGAACCACCACAGAGCAACTGACCACACACAGCCCCAGCACAGAGGAGCCATCCACACACACACACACACACACACACAGCCCCCACAGCCTCGTGGTTGCCCCCCAAAACAGCCCCACAGCCCCACAGCTACCCCCCAGCAGCTCCCACAAGCCCTACAGGGAGTTTGTCTCTTGTTGGGTTCTGGTTTGCCATGCCAGCTGTCCCCTTCCCAGTCCTCAAAGGCCCAGGGGCTCTAATGGCACTGGAAGAAGTGCTAAGGGGGCTCCAGCTGGGGCTTGCAGGTCCCTGGGGACCCTTGGGGCGTTCCCCGGGGCACCTACCTGGGCTGTGGAGGTGGTCAGCAAGTGCTGAGGGAAGGGGAACTGGAAATGGGCCCTAGAGAGGAGCCATTTGTCCACTTGCCTTGTTGGGCTGGGAGCAAGGCATGAGGGGCTTCTGCTGTGTCCGTGCCCCTGTGTGTCCCCCTGCCACCTGAACATGTGGGAAGCTGGGACTAGGTCCTAGGGGAGTGGGTGATGGGACAAAGTCTGTTCTATGGGGATTGAGGGATGGCTGGGACAAAGGGGCTGCTGTCAGCAGGGGTGGTCATGGTGCTCGCCCATAGCAGGGGTTAGTCAGGAGAAGCCAGCTGCAGGGCAGATTGCCTGAAGTGTGGGGAACTAACACTCAAGGCAGGGCAGTGTGGTGCACTTCCCCTGCCTGCCCTCCCAGACAGCAGAGCAAAGCCCCTCCAGTGTGCAGGGTCTGGGCAGGGCAAAGCCCCCAGCAGGGCTGGGCCTTGAGGAGTGCCCAGGCTGGAGAAATGGGCTGCCAGAAGTCTCATCCTCTTCAACGAAAGGAAATGCAAAGTCCTGCTCCTGGGGAGAAATAGCCCCATACACCAGTAAAGGCTGGGGGCTCACCAGTAGCTTTACAGCAACTCAGTCTTGCTGGGCTCAAGTTGAACATGAGCCATCAACATGGCCTTGTGGCAGGGAAGGCCAAGGGCTGCTTTAGGAAGAGCTTGGCCAGCATGCTGGGGGAGGTGATCCCTTCCCTCTGCTCAGCACTGGTGAGGCCATGTCTGGAATGCTATGTCCATTTTGGGGGTTCCCAGTAAAAAAAAGATGTAGACACACTCTTTGGCTTTTCAGCATACTTAAAGATCCACCTGGTATCAGAAATCTTCTTGTAGCTCTTTCTCTTTAGCTCTCACCCTTCTCATGAATAAACTCAGGCTGGCTACAGGTTGAGCACAAAAAGCACTTAGGGGCCTAGTTCCAGATTTATGCTTGTTGTATTTAATTCAAAGGCACAGCCTCAAACAAAGCCATTCCTGGAGGTAACTAAATGTGTTAGGTGCCTCTCTGTTTCTTCTTAAAGATCCTATCTGCTTAGATATGTGCCCCCATCATCCCTGCCCATGCCTGGGGAGGTGCCATGTGGGAGCCCTCTTAAGACTCCAGGTGAAGGCATTTGACAACTATTCTGAGGAAAGGCCCCATTTCCTCTAAAGCCCAAGCGATTCCCATCAATTAGGAGCAGGATACCAAACAGGGGAGACACATGATCTGAGTTTTGACAGGGAGTCTTTTTTTTCCAGGTACTTGGAAAAACTTTGGGGTTTCAAAACTTATAGGTGGACTGGATGAATCCAGACAACAAAATGCAACGATGCCACTCAGGAGTTCAACAAGACAGAAATGAGGGGTGTGAAGTAATGGACCAAAACTGGTATCAGAGCTTGACGTAACTCTTAGATAAAGTAGTAAAAAAAAAGTGTAAGCCAGCCATAATTCTCTTTGGAGGTTTTTAAAAGAAGATGGATGAGAGAGTGTGTACTTATTCACTGTCAGAAAAGCAGCTGGATCAGAAGCACTGGGATTTTCCACTATGGCACGCCATAAGCATGTCAAGCACGGCACTGATGAAAAGTGGTAGTCCATGCTCCGACAGGTGTCTTGACCCAGAGGTTTTGGGAACCAAGTATGTGATGGGAGGTGGGGTTTCAATTGCCTCTTTCATGCCTCTCAATATACCCTTTTATTTCCTACATCTAATTGCTTTCTTACCCTCAGCTTCACCTAATTGGATTCTAGGCATGTCTGCCTCTTGTGACACTTCTGCAAAGCTTCTAGGAGGAGGTTGTTGCTATACCCTCTGCTGTTATACGCTTGACTGATATTAGAGTAATTAAGGTCATGGGCGTGACTTGTTCTGGACTTGCAAGTGGTGTTGGCTGTTGGCCATGGCAGCACAGAAAGCGGAGAAAGTGTAACAGTGGAGAAAGCAAGCTCATTTTGTGGTAATAAAGATGCTTCTAGGGGTTCAGATTTCATGGATAAGGAGTAGACTGGACTGGTGGAGAGGAGAGAAGCAAAGTCTATCAGTAAGCAGTCAGCACTGTCAGCTGAGGGGTAGCTTCAGCTTTACTGAAATTTTTGGGGTATACTGAACCAGAGAAGTCCCATTCCCTCCCTACAAGCCCACTGCCTGGGAACTCCAGGCTACTTCAGTTTCTGGAATTTTATACCAAGCAGCATGGTGGTTTTTGATCAGAATAGAGTAAGAACTATTTAGAGCCTTTGCTGGCATAAAACATTGCTGAGATTCCAGAAAGTTGCTTGGTGGCTGACTGTTGCCCTCCTCTGTTCTGCTGGTATCAGGAAGATTGTTTGGCATGGTGTCTGTTGTTACTGCAAAACCACAATATGCCCAAAATCTTTTACAGATTAAAGGTCCTGAACTTGATAGGCAGAACTGAGCTGAGTGAGGCATGTTGATGCTTCTCCATCTGTGTAACATTAACATGTTTCTGGATAAGACTGAAAGTGACAGAGAAATAGATTTGATTCATGGCAGCCTTTATCCTTAATGACAATCCCTGTGCCTTTTAATGCATTCATTTTAATTAGGTGCTGCAAAAAGCAGCAGCAAGATGACATTTTGTATCTGGTCATATGCAGGCACAGCTTGTGTTCTTCTGCCTTGGTCCACTGCTACTGCCTTAGTGCCTGGAATCCCCAGAAGAGGAAACTGACTGGCCAGCAATCAGTGCAAAAGATCAATTTTTTTTTCTATCTTCTTCCAAATCTCTTTCTTACAGCTCTGCAGGAAGTGGCCAGAAACCTGAGTACATTCCCCATATGGAGACTGAGTTTCAGATGTTGCGTTGGATCAATCTTTACCATTTATTTATTGTAGGCTGGAATGTTTTGCCTGCCTGTGTCATGGCCAGTTTCTCAAAGTGGGAGAGACTCATAAACCCCAGGATCTGCCTGGGTGTGACTGGCCTACTCTGCTAATGAGTGTATAACTGATAGTCCACTGGGGGTTTATTATATGTCAATAAAGAGTTTAGATTAATGGATTACCAAGCAAATGCTCTGTGAAGTCTTTATAAAGCTCCAGCTTTGCGCTAGGAGCATAGAGATCTGACTGCTAGATGGTCTGAGTGCTAAGAAGAAGAGAAAAAGTCTGAGACACAGACAGAGAAAGACCAAAACCAGAGAAAATAAAATATATTCAGGTTAGGAAAGGCTATACTTTGCAGGCACTATGAAAGGCTGTCTTTCCATTACAGTCCTTGCAGTCCTTTTACTGGTGCACAGCTCCCAGGCAGTCTACGTTCAGGTGAGTTTTCTGCTCTTTAATTTGTTGGTATTACAAGTTCAACGAAGTACTGATATTATGTGAAGTGTTGTGGCTGCAACAGGAATCTCAAACTAAACTAATAGATCTGAATTTTTGCTTTGCTCTGGCTTGATATCCAACTTCATCTCCCTATGGTTCAGTTTTTCTTTCTGTAAAATGCTTCAGGTATTACTAACATGCTGCTGCAGTTTAATTACCTTCACCAGCCATATCACTGCTCTGAAATCCCTTGCTGACTGAGGCACTGCCTTTCCAGAGTTATCTTTTGCACATAACCCCATGTGTTGTGAAGCTGCAAGAACTGGGGACACCTCTAACTTTATAGAATGATGTAAACAAGATGTGACAAAAGAGAAATTGTCTTGTCTCACCTGCTTCTAGGCAGGAAGTTCTTTATGAAAATGATCTGCAAGCTTATGTGACAGAGCCTACGCACATATCACCTGTAAAAAAAAGGTGAAAGAAATGCTTAGCTGGATCCAACGAAATATTAATAGGCAAATAAGATATTAGAGGAGCCTATATCAAATTTTCCAAAATACACAGCACCTATGACTGATATTACATGCAACATGGAAGCAGTTAAGAAGGTACTTCAGTGCTCTTGTCTGTACTTGTGAGTGTGTTGGATCTGTCTGCACTCATCCTTAGAAACAGTTTGGGAGATTTCAGTTTGATTGCAATGTCAATAACTTCCTCAGAGTACCAAGAGAACTAATATTTCTTAAACAATTATTGACTCTCTTTATATGTACACAGTAGGTTTCCAGCTGTAGGAACTATCTTTGTGCCTTGAAATATCCTCTTTTTCTCCTTTGGATGTCCGAGATGTCTAAAGATAGCAAGTTTAAGCTATTCCTTTCTTCCAAACCATTCTTTAACATTTAGAGTCTCCAAGGGAACAATATAGCTTCCTACTTAATGAGAAAAATCTCAGTTTTCCACTTGGAGGCATAAAAAAACCCTAAATGAGAATAGCTGTCTCTAGGTTGGGTAGAAATGTAGAAAGTGCAGCTCTGGAGATTTAGCTCCTCTTTGTAGTTTGAATTCTTATCTCATTAATCACTAAATCTCTATTTTCCCTAATATATGTACAGTGTACTCTGCATGTGTGTTGCTCTACTTTCACTTGGACTACTTGAGGTCCCGAAGGTCTGATTAATTACTCAGTGCACAAAGTTGGCTTATGCTCTTGTTTTCTGAAATTATTCCCAAGACTTCCCTTCCCTCTCCCGTAATATGTCAGAAGTTGTTAATTTAACAAAATGTTTTGCAAAGCAGAAGTGAAGTTCATTTGACTTCATATCATGTTTTTGAAGACTGAGTATCACTATCTCGACACTTTCCACCACAGATCTTGAATGAATATGATGGAAATTGGAGGAAGGTGGTTTACTGGGTGTGGAGTAGAACCAGAAAAACTACAGAAATGGATTGTTCTGGCCTGCACTATTTCTGTGATAAAATCTCTTAGTTCAGCAACACAGTAGGCACTTTCACCTTGGAGGGAAGATGCTGCTCAGACTGAGCTCTCTCTAATACATCTTTCTTATCTGAGGGGTGAGGGTGGGGTGGGTTGTTTAATTTTTTTGTTGTTCTTTGTCACCAGGACATACATGTCTCAAGGTTCATTCCTACTTCCTGGTTTCTCTGATACTGTACCTGAGGAAATCCATCCTTTTTTAGTTCTCTGTTTTATGCTCTTGAGGTCTGTGACTAATAGCTGAATCTAGAACTGCGTTTATACAGGAAAAGTTAATTTTTCATAGGCCATCATGACTGATAGATTAACTTGAGTAAAATCATAAACTGATTGCAAATAGAAAAGAGTTTGACTTTGTTAAGTAAATGCATGTCCAGAGTTTATCTGGTTGGGTTTTTTTTTAATTCTTTAACACCAAACTTCTGTGATTCTGTGTGTCGTGGTTTAACCTCAGTCGGCAACTAAGCACCACGCAGCCGCTCTCTCACTCCCCCTTACCCCCGGTGGGATGGGGGAGAGAATTGGAAAAGCACAAGTGAGAAAAACTCGTGGGTTGAGATAAAAACAGTTTAATAATTGAAATAAAATTATGATAATAATAATATGATAATAATAATAATACACAAAGCAAGTGGTGCACAGTACAATTGCCCACCACCTGCCAACCGATGCCCAGCCAGTCCCCGAGCAGTGGCCCCCCCCGGCCAGCTTCCCCCAGTTTATGTACTGAGCATGACGTCACATGGTATGGAATGTTTCTTTGGCCAGTTTGGCTGTGCCCCCTCCCAGCTTCTTGTGCACCTCCAGCCTTCTCAGTCGGTAGAGCATGGAAAACTAAAAAGTCCTTGGCCAGTGTAAGCATTACCTAGCAACAACTAAAACATCGGTGCCTTATCAATTTTGTTCCCATCCTAAATCCAAAACACAGCACTGTGCCAGCTGCTAGGAAGGAAATTAACTCTATCCCTGCCGAAACCAGGACACTGTAAAAAAACCACAACAAACCAAAACCAGCTACCCTCCCCCCATCTCACACTGCTCAACATTGGGCTCATGAGACTATGAAACAAATGGCAATGGTTGGTCTCATGCTGTATCAGTCACTTCACTTTATTTCTTTGAATGAGCAGGTGTTATTTGATCATGCTACTGACTACATGTTGGTCATTAAACCAGATTAAAAGATATGCTAAAGATCAATTTGAAAATGCTTATTTCTCTTCTAGGCCAAACTGGTTATCTGCAGACATACACAGACTTTGTGCACCTAGCTTAACAGTTGCAACACCTGCAATTTAAGTTTATGACCTCAACAGTGGGATTCACTTGAAACTGGGGGAATGACCATTAACAGATGCACAGGGTCTAGCAATCTAAAACATGGAGTAATATTTCTCAGAATACTATTGCGGCCTCCTGAAGCTTTTGGTATGAGCTTTGAGTCAGAAGTGTCATATTTATGCTGCCAATAACTTGTGTTCCATTAATTGTGTGGACAAGTTTTAAATTAATGGAAACTTGCCACAGTACCTTGGGGTGAGGGATCTCAGCTCTTAACAATGTGTAATGTAAAGAATTGCTCCTTTTGTGTGGTTAGAACCTGCCACATGACAGCCAACACTTGAAGTTCTCTACTGATGTATTAGAAGAAAGAGTGAACAAAATAAATTCCCATTTATCCCCATTAAACTCATTATTTTGTAAATCTCTACCACATATCGCCCAGTCATCTTTCTTCTAGGCTGAAGATTCCCAGCCTGTATCTTTCGACGCCAGATTTTATGGGTCTCTCTCATGGGAGTGAGAAATGCACTAATTCTGCCTCCGTCCACTGTGATACATAATGAAAGCTCTGACTGGCCAGTCAGGTCTCACTGCTGCTCTGAAAGATCTTTGCCTTGAAGAGCGGATCATTTTGCCTTCAGTCAGCACTGGTTTTATCTAGGCTTTGTTTCAGCACTGTCTTTTCCCTGTAGTATACTTTTTGGGAGAGCTCATGGTTGAAATGGAATGGGTTTGCCAAAGGACTGACTTCCTGATGCCTTTTTTTTCTGGTTCTGTCTACATAGGATGGAGACTTGAAATTCTCCCTTGAGTCTGTGAAGAAGCTAAAGGAGCTTATGGATGAGAACAGACATGTTAACCCTCACATAGTGGTTTCAATGGCTAGCTATTCTCCATGTGATGAAAAAAATCTCCCTGAGGAGTTCCAACCTGTGTGCAAAAGAGAAGATGCATCCATGGTTTTTGAGAGGCTGAGTATGTAGCTCATATTGCATAGGTGCCATTTTTATCACACTTTTCAACCTTAAACATTCAAATAGCAGCAGGCAAAGAAACATAATTACTGTTCTGTCACTTCTAAAGAAGCTGAGAGAGTCCATGCTGCCTTTTTGCTACCCCTCCTACAAGGGCTGGACTACACTA